TATATTCTTCATTTTTGCTGTGCAAATGATAACAAATAAGTTTGTGATACCAGTTACAAGCATAGGAATTACAGATTGTGTGAAATAGTAACATGGCATTCAAAGCAAATAAAACATTGGGCATGTCAAGAGAGTAGCACATTTTATAAAAGGAAAAACAAAATAAAAGAGTAAACGATTGAGTGTCATGGCGGAGATAACAAAAGAGATAGTACGTTCAATTACTACTACTCAACATAAATTATATTAGAATTATACCACCAAGTAGTGGAAATACCAAGCTCAGGCTTATGAAGGTTGATGCAGTGGTGAATTTGTGCCTCCCATGACGTGCAGCGTCACTACAGCCCCAGGCATTGTTAGGAACCAACATGTCCACAGGTCTCTTTCTCCTTCCCTAGGAAAGAGCCTCAGGATCCCTGGTGGCGTTTTGTCACACTGGATCGTGGACTACGGACGGTTATTTGTACCTTCCTACCCCCCTCACCTAGAAAAGGGGAGCTGAACCAGAACTCTGACTGGGGGTTGTACCTTAAGGGGTCTATAGCGTATGCGGCTGTCGCCAAGTCTCCCAGCTCCTCCAGAACCTCTGACACAAGGCATTAAACCGTTGCAGGAATCCTGCTTGCCAGCTTCCAAGTGGTGCCTGAGCAAGGGTAACATTGCTGTCGCCCATTTTGTATTGACTGTGATCCAAAGCCAGTTTAAGATCTTTTTACATATTCTGAATCCTATACTTTGTTCAGGGTTTATGTACAGATTTGGTATGTTAATTCGGCCTGGAATTGGCTTTAGTAAATATGAAAATTGATATTCAAATTCCAGTCTTTAGTGAATAACCCTGTTAATGTACTTTTGCCGTAGACTAAAATGCTTGGTTAATGAGTGCTTTCTGTAATTGATAAGGAAAGATATTTTTTTTAAAGAAAAGCAAACAGATTGCATTGTTCTCTTCATTTCATCTATCATAATGTTTAGTGTTGTGTTTGGCCAACAAGGTTAGTCATGAAAAAAGGCCATTAAATGACCTTACAAAGCATATCATCAGCAGGTTTATATAAAACCGCCAACCCATTTATTTGCTTAAACTCTGGCTGACATTAAATGTAACCAGAAATTGGAAAAAAAACAAAAAGACTGAAAGCAGACAATATTTAGCAATAGTTTTCAGTTGAAAGTATTAATTTCTCTCCTGCAACTGGCATAAAAAAAAAAACCCTAATCCCTCAGTGAATACTATCCTAGCAACTTACATCCCTAATTCACATCAGTGGCCCACCCTTATACCCCGCCCACCGAAATCCTCCTCATAGCGATATGATTATGAGGTGTATTATAGTATTATAGTAATATAGCATTATTTTGTACTTTGTATATAAATTTGCTTATGTGCTGTGTTTAATGATAAGGATTAATGTTCTATTTTATTTTACCATAAGGAACCCTTTTTCACTGCCTTTACCGTTGCAAAAACATGATTTATCTAATCAAGGTTTTACTGCAAGCAGCTTATCATGGCTGTCAATTACTTATTGCCGCCGTTATTCATCCATCATTGTTTTTTAACTACCATCCTCTTTTCAATTAAATCAGCATTCTACTGCATTGATTGCATTTATTTTGTCATACAATCATTGTTCTGCTGCCATTTCAAGTGCACCTGAGTTTTCTTTACATTCCAATTATTTAAATATTTTTCAGGGTATTAATGTATTCCCAGTGCTCTCTTCAGTGCTAAAAGACCCCTCCTGTTTCCCACACCCGTCAGAATTCAACCCACAGAATTTCCTGGATGAAAATGGGAAATTTAAGAAAAATGATGCCTTTATACCTCTATCTGCTGGTAGGTGGCAATAGAACATATATATATATATATATTCAGTTTGCAACTTTTATAAATATATAAAAATACAAAGACCTTGGAAAAATCTAAAGCCTTTGATACAGCATTTCTAAGAAATATTTTTTTCCCAATTCTACCAGAATTCTGCATAAAATGCAAATAAGCTTGAAATACTTCTGCAGGTCTTGGAAAGTTCTCACTCTAGAACCATTAGGGATGTGCCTGGGCAAAAAAATTGGTTTGGTAATTCGGGTAAGTAAAAGAATTTGTCTGCTTCTGCAATTCGGACCAATGGCATTCAGTTCGGTACTTCCGAACTATGGAAATTCAGACATTTTGACACTCAGCAATTCGGTCATTCTCTAACCCTAACCCCTAACCCTAACCCCTAGTCCGAAGCACTTCAGAATTTGTCAATTCGGTTTGGCCCTTTCGAAGTGCACGAAATTAGTTTGAATATACATTCGGAACGAAACGAATTGCACATGTCTAAGAATCATTTAGCAATGTTAATATATTATTAATCTCCTGAGTAAGCCATGGTGTTAAGTCTAAATTTTCAATCATATTATTCAGATATTTGAAAGGTAATGCCGGTAAAATTTTATTTTTTTATAGTTATCTGAAGCCTGTTTCAAAAGCTAATCAAACTCTTCAAAATTAAGTGGTGGGTATAAGCTGATTTATGTATTCCTTCTGAGCCTTTTGTTGGCCACAAAACCTTAATCAAGTTATTTGAAGAAGTAATATAGCATTCTTAAATTTCGCACCAGGCCTGAAATGTATTATCTTATTTAATTATAGAAAGAGTATGCATTAAGAGGGCCTCCCTGTTCTTTATTTAAATGAAGGAGATTTATTATTGTGTTTTTTTCTTTTCTTGAGTCATATAAAGTTACTAAAGGCTTTATATAATAATATTAACCAGGGTAGTGGAATATTCATTAGTATCATCCATAATAAATAAAAAAACATAGGATTTAATGCTGTGGAGTCTGCCCCACTGGCCTCAAATGTTTATTTAAATGTAAGAGATTAGCCTTCCATTAAATTTGATGGATGATTAGCAATATTGATACCCAGATATTTATACATCTTCTCCCATTTAAAGTTATATTTCTCATCCAAGTAGTTGAATACATCTTTATTTATATACATAGGCATTGCAACTGTCTTCTCAACATTTAATTTATAATTTAAGAGAAGGCTATAATGATGTATTGCAGTCATTGCCTCATTCACGGAACAGATAGGCTTTGTATTGTTTGTTTAAAAACATTGGATATTTGTGTTGGATCATATATTGAAATAACAGATTATTTTCAGAATAAGCAGCTCCCTAGCCTGAACTCCTTAAAATCTAAATTACTGAATGAACAGATAACATCAGAAGCAATAATGGCAGTAATAAACAACATGAAAGGAAATACAGCTCCCAGTACAGACAGTTTTCTTGACTTATTTTATAAACTTTTTCAGGAAATACTCACCACTAACCTGGTAGAATGCTTTCCCTTTTTAATGAATCCTTAGTCAATGTCTAATTAAATTCTTAAAGCAAATATTATACCTATCTTGAAACAACATAAAGACCCAGATGAAATAGCAAGCTATAGACCAGTGATGGCGAACCTATGGAAACTGGAAATATTCTGCACTCACTATTATTGCCAAAACAAAATTTCCCCATTTTTTGGCATTTGTTTTATAATTAATGAGAATTTATCTATGTATATGTGACATTAAATTACAGCCCTTTTTGCGCTCTAAAAATTGTATATAATATGTGTTGGTGCAATAAATGACAGAGATACAAATTGCGTTTGAACACAAACAGCAAAAAATGCAAAAATGGCTTGTGTCCTTAAGGGTAAGTCCAGTTTTTGAAGCTGCATCCTTAAGGGGTTAAAGTTTGACTACAAAAGTTTGGATTGTGATCCAAAAAACACCAAGGTTCAATCAGAAATATGAGAAGTCTGAAACCTCAGGTTTACTTCATAAGATGGATGTAAGGACATGTACTGTATTTGACAAAAACGGCATTTCTGCCTAATTGTCTGGTTCTGTCATACCCACAAGATAAGCGATAGCATAATAGCAAAAATGTTAATCCTCCCAATATTATTATAATGAATAAATAAAACATGAAGCAGAGTACATTATCCATTTTCATTTTATTCCGATCAGCAATCTATGCAAGAAATGTTCTCTTAACTTTAATTATAAACTGGCTATAAATATCATGTTCAAAAGAAATGTGAATTTTGTTTTTCTTTTAAAAGAACTTGGTAGGGTAGGGAGTCAACTTAATGTTGTGTATTGAGTTACTCGGTAATATTTCCTTTTAATACCTTAATACCTACAGGGAAGAGAGCTTGCCTTGGGGAAGGTCTGGTTCGAATGGAACTCTATATCTTCTTCGTTACTATCCTACAAAACTTCACATTGAATTCTTCTATACCAGCTGAGGAGCTGGACATAACTCCGAATGTGTCTGGACTTGGCAACTTTCCAAAGCCTTACAAAGTATCTTTCATCCCACGTTTCTAATTAAAAAATTCAAATTATTTAGTTTGGTTCTTGAATAATATGTATGTTGTATCATTAACAGTCAAGCCTTTAATCATCATAGAATGATTACTCTACTCTTCAAGCCGTTTTATTAATAAGTTACTGTGATGTTCAGTAAAATGCGTTGATGCTCCTGAAGTCATGTACAAACCAGTCAATTATTTCCAAAACCAAGTACTCACTTTATTAATACATATATAACAGGTTCTCATATTGCTGCCTTGTTACACATGGTTTTGGCAGCCGCCATTTTAAATCCCTAGAACATTCCACTAACTGCCAACAAGAAGAGGATGTGGGGAACCAACCACAGCCAACAACAGCCCAACCGCACATACATCACAATACAGTTTTTGAAGCTGCATCCTTAAGGGGTTAAAGTTTGACTACAAAAGCTTGGATTGTGATCCAAAAAACACCAAGGTTCAATTAGAAATATGAGAAGTCTGAAACCTCAGGTTTACTTCAAACTTTATAAATAAATCCTATTTGTTGGGGATAAAATCAGCCCGGGCCCTTTGTGGATGATGGATATTTGCCAACTCATTCAGAGCTCTGGAAATTGGAAATGAATAGCAGAGACGTGTTCAATAACCAATTCAAATTTTATTCATCCGTCAGTTACATTAATACCCCGTTTTCATAGCAGGATGGGAGGAGGAAAATGAGCATATGTGCGTGACAATGATATTGTTTTTCACAAGTTATGAGCAGCTGTTTCTTATTATAATTCTACGTTATATAACGCATGCATATTTGATCGAAACAAGATATTTACAAATACCAAAATCTTGGACAATTAACAAGAACATTTCAAAATCAGTATGGTCATTCTCGTAACTGATATTAGATAAATTCTTCCCAGAATCGAAGATACAATTCCAAATTTATTCTTGATTCACATTAACCCTTAAATGAACAGCTAGGATGAATAGCAAAATGGATATTCGTATCTACAATTCCCCTCTTGGATCATTTCATGATCTACCTTACGGAAAATATCCATGGGAGGCCTGCGGCAGAGAAACGAAAGGAGGTATATTCAGACATGCTAATCACGTCTGCGGGACTTTCATTATTTCTTCACCTCGATTTCCCCCATTTGCTCTATGCCGTAGGTTTTCCCTTTAAGAGGAGTTCGAGCTGTCAATTTTCAGCTTTTTCAATTATCTGTTGAATACATCTTTTAAGTGTACAAGTTAAATATTTCAAACAGCTGACATGTTAACCAATTTTAAACAGACTGCACATCATGTTATCTGTAACTTGAGCCTTGGATCAAAATTGTATTCTTCCCAACAACGGGAATATTATTATTATAATTCACAACGTAAACACATATAGTCAAAATGGGAATAATATCTATTCCCCCTCTTTGGACCAAGGTCTTGGATTACCAGTCCACCCAGTGATCTGGGGCCAGGTCAAAAAACCCAGTGGCAAAAACCCTATTTGAGGAAAAAAAGCACATCTGGAAAACCCTGAGTGAGGGACATGACTGTATAAACATATCATCCCCTCATGTTGACAGCATTAGTGACTTATAAAACCCGCACTTGTAAGTAAATAGCTCGGGTATCGGGATTGGGAAACACTTCTTGATTAGTTTGAAAAGGCCCACTTACATATTAATTCATGAGATAACTTATTATCAGCTTGAAATTCTAACAATAATCCCAATCACGACCTTGCATCCTATGTCTCCTAATGACATCTCTATTTCGATGGTCTAGTCATATCCACACTTAATACATGGGAATCCATCCTTGGTACACTCAACATACATCAATGACACACATAGTACATCCATGCCTGAATAAGCTAACACTTCCTCTCTCTCTCCGGCTAACTCTACAAAAATGAAAATAACAAAATAGTTCAATAGTCCAGCATAGTCCAGAAAAATAGAATAAGTCTTTCAAGGAGTATAAAGAATCTTAGACACCATAAACTTTGTTCCAAAATCTTAGACACCATAACATAGCTAAGGGTAGCAATATGGCTGACAACAAGACTATGTCAGCTTCCACATAGTTCTTAATTCTTCTGTTTGCTGGATGTTCACCACAATACTCTGTGCAACACCCCAATTGTTGAAAGGGAAATACAGAAATAGCGGCATTAGACAGCACTGCACCTTCAGGACTTTCCAAGTTAGTTTATGTCCTCATAAGTAAGCATCTCAGTTTCTTCAGCCAGCATGGATTTTGACCAAACAGATTTAATTGCAAAAAAGGTAGGTAGGCAGGTAGGTCAGCCAGAGAGATTGGTGTGTTGTCCCAAATATCAGGCGGCACAAATACTCCAGTACGGTCTCTATAATCATTCAAACACAAGGATCAGTATGACATCAATAAATTAATTATCTAGGCTAAACTCAAGTTAGAGACTAAAGTTAAACTCTTAACTAGTGTAACATGTACTTCTCGCAGTTTTGCTTATAATTCATTGAATTAGTCCTTTATAAAATTTTAATACATAATTTCCCTTTGGAATGCCTTTGTATGGATAAGAGAAGCACCCATAATTCCCAATAGTGATGTCCTGAAGTGTTCGCCGAACGGTTCGCGAACGGTTCGACACGAACGGTTCACCACGGACTCATCATTGAGTAAACTTTGACCCTATACCTCACAGTCAGCAGACACATTCCAGCCAATCAGCAGCAGACCCTCCCTCCCAGACCCTCCCACCTCCTGGACAGCTCACTAAGAATGCAGCTTCACAATGGATGCTGTCCAGGAGGTGGGAGGGTCTTGGAGGGAGGGTCTGCTGCTGATTGGCTGGAATGTGTCTGCTGACTGTGAGGTACAGGGTCAAAGTTTATTCAATGATAAGTCCGTGGCGAACCGTTCGTGGCGAACCGTTCGTGAACCGTTCGGGAAACAGTTTGGGACATCACTAATTCCCAATAAAATGCTGTTCTTAAACTTAAACCTTGATTTGATAATCTCAATTAATTACTTTAAAAAATTGGAATGCTGAAGTCTGTCAGAAATTTTGTGGACCCTGATGACATCTTTGGAAACCTAAACCTTTTATAGATCCCGATGTCCAAAAAGCCATCAGTTCTGTATGTGCGTGATCATGTTTTAATACATGGTGGAACCTCCATACAGTTATCCCACTTAAACAATATTTTTTTTTTTTTCAGAACAACTAGAGAAACAAAATGAATTACTATTGTTCTAAAGTGCTTTGTTTAATACAGGTTTCGGAAGAGTTGTCTTGCTGTGTTGCAAGTGGCCTCTGATAAGGAAGGGGCAGCAAACTATAGACATATGTTATTAAGTTGCCCTCACTTGTCAGGTCTTGGAAACCCACGTATTTTATTGCAGATGCCTCTATGATACCACATTACAAATTGACTAAGCATACTTATTATTATCCTATTTTATTTTAGTTATTTCACATTGCGCATCCTATGCAAACAATGTCTAGGTCCCAACTTCAGCTTGTACATCCTCTAAGAGCCAGCATTAATACTGCTTTATCTATATATAAAGTATTGAAAACATGAACCATCTGTGTATTAGGCTGAGGTTGTTGGGTGTGGGTATAGGTTGGAAGTTGTGGTTGGTATTGAGGAACCTGCCAGGGTGGATCCTTGAACGCCAGCTGGGCCAGGTTCTCCCTTAGCACTGGGTTCTCCTTTGTCTCCTTGAGCACCAGGTCCACCATTGTTACCCTTAGGTCCAGGGGAACCTCTGGGGCCTGGAGGTCCAGGAGCACCACAGACACCAGGGAAGCCAGGGGCACCAGCAATACCAGTGGGGCCAGCTTCACCGGGAGAACCGGGTTCACCACAAGCACCTTGGGGTGAATCCTTGCTAGCCACAATTAAAACAGTGCTGAAGTTGCCACTTCTACAAAAGTTAGACCCTTTGATCAAATCCTCTACCTCTGCCTCTAAAACTTTTCTGATTCAATTTCCTATCACCTCCCAAATGTCCTTGTCTCGCCTGCTTAAGATCACAATCCTTTTGTGACCGATACAACATACTTTTCCCTCTTTCTTTATATCAAAACAACCTGCTGTATGTTTCTCATGAATCTTCCCAAGAAATTCAGTTGGGGTCAAAGAGGGCCAGTCACAGACCAACAGTTTGACCAAAAGTGAACAAGGAGGAAGCATATTCCATATGCAGATCGAGATGACCTAACTCACACCCCCTCTTTGTGTACACCTCTTTGTGTACCACACAGATATAATATTAATAAGCTTTTGAAGATTTATTGTGTTTGTATAGCACGGTTGTCTAGGGGTGTATACATAAACAGTGAAAGCAGAGTCTTCACATAGGGTTTGCAATACTGACAGTCTGTGTCATAGGTGTAATGCAGACATGCGGTTAGGAACTTTTCCATTGTCAGAACACTAATATATTGCAAATATTAAAATCAAATTGCAGCTGTTTCCTATACCTGCAAGGATATGGTTTTAATACTTCAATTGAGTTCAAATTGAGTATCGAAAGTCTAATCACAAAAACAAAATTTTATATGCTTATCAAAAATGAGTTTAACCCCTTAGCGATTTAATAGGGTGACCTCTTCCCATAGTATGGTTCCTTTTATAATTATTATATTATTTATTCTCTTCTGGGTCTGCAAAATGCTTTCAATATACCAATACAAATATAATACAGTAGTTTAGAATTGCCTCAAAAGAAATTATCTGATCTCTATTAAAAATACCATGTCATCATTTTCCTATAATCAATGAGGCATACTAGATGAATCTTAATCTTGGGAAAAACCTATCCTATACATCCTTAATTTTTTATTTTTTTTTATATAACCACATAACATAACAATTGTTTATGTTAAAGATAACAAATTTTTATTTTTCTTAAATAATGCAATGCACTTTAAAAGTAACTCTAAATACTCCCCTGATAGTACGGAGAGAGAGAGAGAGAGAGAGAGAGAGAGAGAGAGAGAGAGCCATTTAAAATTGGAAACGTGGATTTTGAAAAGCACATAAATTTTTTTCTCTTTTCTTTCCCAGGGGCCCCTTTCTTGTCGGCTGATCAGCGTTTTTTAATCTGTAGTAAAAAGACACTAAAGGCTTGCATTAATGACATGCAAATATTCTTTAAATATTCTTCATACTCATTGTAATATCACACATCATCTTATAACACAGAACATGAATGTAGCAGATATCCAGCAGACATGCCAATACAAAAATCATATTCATGGACAGGCAATTAACTCAATCCAAAATAAATTAATAAATGTAATGTAGGTTCCCATGTTTGTGCATTATGCATGTCTGCAAACTATGCAAGCAGTACTACTTTAAGATTAGATCAGAGAACCTGCCAACTGGACAGGATAGTTGAATTTTGGCAAAAAGTCCATTATTGCAACAGAATTTTGGAAATCAGCTAAAACTTACAAAAACAGCCTCCCCCCTTTTTTTTCTTTCTTAAGACTACAACTCATATTGCTCTTGGACTAGTATTCAATAATAAATCAGTTATTTAATAGATTATTATGCTGCCATTTCCATTTGTATCAATACTGAGACAAACTTATTTAAATATAATTTAAAATAACACAGCAAAATACCCATTAACATACATGACAATTAAACTGCATACTTCAAAATGAGTACCCAAAACACACATTTATGACAATCATCATTCGCACAGAATAAACTTCTAACAGCTGTATTCAGAACATATTATTGTAAGGTATACCAATTTTAGTTTGTATCAAATTTATTTAAGAGTTCTGGTACCAAAGGATTTATTTTTTCTTTTTAAAGAAGGGATCCCGTATGGCTATATAACGCGTTTGACTTAAACATTTGTATAACACTTGCATTAACCAGTTGCAACATATGTACCCTGTCAATGGAATTTCTCTCTTATACGCTTATAGAACATTTGGACCAGATTACACAGACATGGTATCACCTGCATTTGTCAGAACTCTCAAAGACTCAAAATGTTTATACTACTCCATGTTAAAGGCATGGCAAAATTTTGACCGGTCAATTTGAGTTTCCAAAAGTCATATCAACACAGGTTAAAACCTTTGTCCATGGTTTTCTGATCCTACATTCCATGACCAAAATTTCAAACCCACTTCTGAACAGTTTGGGTCACCATCAATAAAATCTCAGCATCCCCATACAACAATTTACAGAATACATACAATTTAAAGCACATACAACATGTGACGTACTGGAATACTACAAGTTAGCTTACAGCACAAAATGAAGCATGTGTTGGAACGCTGAAAATATACATTTTGCTCTCTAATTCATAATCATCTAAATTTACAACATAAGTTCTCTGCAACAAACACTCAGGGCAGAAAGAATGTGGTGTTTGACGTTTTGAATGAAGTGACTTTTTGTCCCAATATGAAAATAAAGGGCTCATCATATAAACAATCATACATCCCACTCTCATGAAAAAGTGTAGTGGGCTTATAGTACTTTTGTCCAAGTATAAAAATAAAGGGCTCATTATGCAAACAAACATACATGCAGAGAAATCATGTTAGTTCTAGAATGTGTAGCCCCCCTTAAATAATCTCTATTTTTTTTCTTATTCATCATCACCTTTACATGTACTTTATACATTCCCTCAATTAAGACTTTATGCTTAAAATCAGCATTGCACATCATAAAATAGCACATAAAGTAGCAAGCTGGAGTAATGCCAAACATCCATCATACAGGGTTTAAACAATATTCCCTTTTAACCCTTTAAAAAAAAAAAAAAAAAATTTAGTCTGCAAAACCCACATGTACATTACATCACATGACATGACAGCCTGCCAAAGGCTTGAAAATCTTTTTACCACCTGCCAAAGGTGAACCTCGAGGAATTGTCTACCATAGACAATTGTGCACAATACTGCCTGCCAAAGGCTTTCCTCCAACCCACGGAGTAATAAAAGTCTAGCTAAGACTTAAAAGACATTATGCAGTGAATATCTTCTTTAAAAATTTAAATAGTGAAAACCCCAGTAAAACAAGAAATGCAATGTGTGGGAGGATGGCAGAAGCAGGTAAAGGTCCCCAACCCCTTAAGGACACATGACAGAAATTTTCCATCATGATTCCATTTTATTTCAGAAGTTGTGTCCCTAAGGGCTTAAAGATCATGATACCTGTAATTTTCGTTCCCAATTGCACCCAAAAACTTCTGACACCAATTTGTTGGGGATAAAATCAGCCCGGGCCCTTTGTGGATGATGGATATTTGCCAACTCATTCAGAGCTCTGGAAATTGGAAATGAATAGCAGAGACGTGTTCAATAACCAATTCAAATTTTATTCATCCGTCAGTTACATTAATACCCCGTTTTCATAGCAGGATGGGAGGGGGGGGAAATGAGCATATGGGCGTGACAATGACATTGTTTTTCACAAGTTATGAGCAGCTGTTTCTTATTATAATTCTACGTTATATAACGCATGCATATTTGATCAAAACAAGATATTTACAAATACCTTAATCTTGGACAATTAACAAGAACATTTCGAAATCAGTATGGTCATTCTCATAAATGATATTAGATAAATTCTTCCCAGAATCGAAGATACAATTCCAAATTTATTTTTGGTTCACATTAACCCTTATATGAACAGCTAGGATCGATAGCAAAATGGATATTCGTATCTACAATTCCCCTCTTAGATCATATCATGATCTACCTTACGGAAGATATCCATGGGAGGCCTGCGGCAGAGAAACGAAAGGAGGTATATTCAGACGTGCTAATCACGTCTGCGGGACTTTCATTATTTCTTCACCTCGATTTCCCCCATTTGCTCTGTCCCGTAGGTTTTCCCTTTAAGAGGAGTTTGAGCTGTCAATTTTCAGCTTTTTCAATTATCTGTTGAATACATCTTTTAAGTGTACAAGTTAAATATTTCAAACAGCTGACATGTTAACCAATTTTAAACAGACTGCACATCATGTTATCTGTAACTTGAGTCTTGGATCACATCTCTATTTCGATGGTCTAGTCATATCCATACTTAATACATGGGAATCCATCCTTGGTACACTCAACATACATCAATGACACACATAGTACATCCATGCCTGAATAAGCTAACACTTCCTCTCTCTCTAACTCTACAAAAATGAAAATAACAAAATAGTTCAATAGTCAAGCATAGTCCAGAAAAATAGAATACATGTTTCAAGGACTATAAAGAATCTTAGACACCATAAACTTTGTTCCACAATCTTAGACACCATAACATAGCTAAGGGTAGCAATATGGCTGACAACAAGACAATGTCAGCTTCCACATAGTTCTTAATTCTTCTGTTTGCTGAATGTTCACTGTCATGGCAAGGGTGTATAATTTATTATTACACTATGGAATATCATCCTTTAATGTAATTTGTGTAGTAAATGGCACAAATTACAGAGATGCTATTTCCGAGGTTAACAGGGGGTTTCATCTTTTGAAGCTGGGACCCCCCACAGAGGTCAGATGACAGAAGGGGTAGTATGAATGGCATGGGAATGTGAAAAGGTTTTTACTATATAGATGTGAAGTAATCAAGGCTCTGCAAGGTGTGAGGTTCTATACTTGGAAAAAGTCTGAATGTCTCTTCATCCATTTGGCATATACCTTGTAAAGGATAGTTCAATCATTTGATGGTAATGTGATTAGTTTCATGAAGATCCTTGTGTTCCAGTATTTTATCCAAGTGAAACATTAATACTTACCCACAGGTTAATAATTAAGCCTCATTTTTATTATATTTGGAATGGGACAAGCCCAATCTTTGAATTAAGCCCAAACATGAGTTGCACAACTTAAACCGTGTGGCAGGAATTGTGATGTCCGTCCTATTGGATCATGGGCGGGGCGTGCAACATGTCTATGGAATAGGAAAACAATAACAAATTCATAGAGGCAATTATTATTTCTGTGGCAAGTACCGTATAGGAGATAAAACCAAAAGTTTGTATGTGGCGTGTTGTTTTCTGGAACAAAGGAGGTGGTCACTTTGTATCCCTATTGCTCCACCCCTGGATGAGGCGTGGCAATTCACAGGGTATATCTCCTGTGATCCTGAAGGGTGTTTGTGTACTTGCTTGGGGCCAAGATCTAATTTTGAGTGAGTCACCATCTTTCCTTGCCAGAGACCCCCTGGACAGAAGTTGTACTTTGAAAACCTAAGTGAGTAATTAGGACTTCTGTATTTGATCCTTTTTGTTTTTATCTGATGTTGGTGTAAATAATGTGTTTATCATATATTTTTATATGCACTGTGACCATTTTTTGCTCATAATAAACATTCATTTATTAAGTTCTGCCTTTGTCTGGTTAAGAATCACGTTACCTGAAGAGACTAGTTAGTATTTTCGTAATTCATTAAATATTGTACTAAGTAAAATTTGGTGGGTTTTATAGTTGATTTACCTGGGGAACCAAGGCACCCCATTTATAAATTGTCTTGGTGGTGGCAGCGTTGAAATAGTAATAGTTATATTATTATGTTTAAGTGTGGGTGGTGGTAAAAGGGAGATTTTGTCATTATTTCCGGTCTAGAGCAGACAAATGGTGTACTTTAACCCTTTCACCACCACAACTACGTCACGCACACTCTTGGAGTAGGGTGCATTTGTGACATTCACCACAATGCTCTGTGCAACACCCCAATTGTTGAAAGGGTAATACAGAAATAGTGGCATTAGACAGCACTGCACCTTCAGGACTTTCCAAGTTAGTTTATGTCCTCATAAGTAAGCATCTCAGTTTCTTCAGCCAGCATGGATTTTGATGTTAATACCCCGTTTTCATAGCAGGATGGGAGGGGGGAAAATGAGCATATGTGCGTGACAATGACATTGTTTTTCACAAGTTATGAGCAGCTGTTTCTTATTATAATTCTGCGTTGTATAACGCATGCATATTTGATCAAAACAAGATATTTCCAAATACCAAAATCTTGGACAATTAACAAGAACATTTCGAAATCAGTATGGTCATTCTCGTAACTGATATTAGATAAATTCTTTCCAGAATCAAAGATACAATTCCAAATTTATTCTTTGTTCACATTAACCCTTATATGAACAGCTAGGATAGATAGCAAAATGGATATTCATATCTACACTATTCAATGCATTAAGTTTTACAAATGAATGTAGGCAGTGGCGTACTAAGGGGGGGGTGGAGGGGGCGGTTCGCCCCGGGTGCCACCAGGATGGGGGGTGCCATGATCAGGGGCGCCGGCCCCCCCATGCTGCAGCCACCCGAGCGCTCTGTAGAGAGCCTCAGGCGGCTGCAGCTTTGCCCGGGTGGTGCGTCCATGAGGGCGGACCGCACCGCCCGGGTGCAGCCTGAGGGGAGGGGCTGACAAGAGGGAAGCGCTCAGCGCTCCCTCCTGTCAGCTCCCTCACTATAGCGTGGCCGAGCCCTGCAGCATGATGGTCCGACGGGTACAGGGAGCATCTGTGTGCACTTCCTGTTAGTCTAACAGAGTGTGCACTTCCTGTTAGTCCGGCCGGGTACAGGAAACAGATGCTCCCTGTACCCGCGGACTATACAGGGCTCGGCCACGCTACACCAAAGGTAGGGGGGAGGGGAGAAAGAGAAATTAGGAGGGGGGTGAGAAAGAGAAAATAGGAGGGTGAGAAAGAAAATAGGGGGGGGAGAGAGACGTAGGAGGGGGTGAGAGAAAATAGGAGGGGGGTGAGAAAAGAAATTAGGAGGGGGGGGAGAAAAATTGAAATTAGGAGGGGGAGAGAAATTAGGAGGGGGGTGAGAAAGAGAAATTAGGAGGGGGGAGAAAGAGAAATTAGGAGGGGGGGAGAGAAATTAGGAGGGGGAGAAAGAGAAATTGGGAGGAGGAGAAAGAGAAAATAGGAGGTGTGAGAAAGAGGAAAATAGAGGGGGGGGGGTGAGGAAAGAGAAATTAGGAGGGGGAGAGAAATTTAAATTAGGAGGGGGAAGAGAAACAGGAGGGGGGAGAGAAACTAGGAGGGAAAGAGACTAGGGGAGAAATTAGGAGGGGGAGAAAGAGAAATTAGGAGGGGGGAGAGAAATTGAAATTAGGAGGGGGAAGAGATATTAGGAGGGGGGAAAGAGAAATTAGGGGGGGAGAGAAATTAGGAGGGGGGGGTGAGAAAGAGAAATTGGGAGGAGGAGAAGGAAATTGGAGCGGGAGGAGAGATTGACATTCATCACATACACACAATGCACCCCTTGCACACAGAAAAACACACAATGCATTACACACACAGACACACATACACAAGCAATGCAACCGTTACACACAATGCATCCCTTACACACACAGAAACACACAATGCATTCATTATACACATTCAATGCATCCCATACATACACATAAACACACCTTGCAGCCCTTACACATACAAACACAATTTCACACAATGCATTCCTTACACACATATCAGGACATCCCCTACACACTCCACCCCCTGTGAACAAACTCATTGGTGGAACATGAAGGTTGACCCTGGGACCCAGACCTTGAGCTGTGTAAAGGACCTCCAAAAAATGGAGCTGCTTCCCGTTCTCCGAGAACATTGATTTTTGTGACCACAGTTACAAACCGCCTCCAGAGAGCCTGTTCTGCACCAGACCAGTGGAGCCAGACTGCAGCTAGAGCCCATCATCATCCTCATCTGGTTGTAAGTAGGCAATCTAGTATATTATTCATGGCACTAAGCTCTAATTTACCTCACATTAATGAAACACTATAGTCCCCAGAACCACTTCAGCTTAATGTAGTGGTTCTGGTGTCTATAGCCTGTCCCTGCAGGCCTTTTAATGTAAACACGGTGGCACTGCAGCACTGGCGTTAGTTAACATGGCAAATCATATGGGTGGGGCATTGTGATGTCACATGGGGGGCGGCAAACTTTACTTTTGCCTAGGGCGGCAAAAATCTTTGCACCGGCCCTGGCTGGAGGGGGCTGTGTGAGCTGTGGCCGCACAGCGTCCCATGGTAGTTAGGGTGCCGTGCGGCCAGTACAGCTCACACAAGCAAACAGCTAATAAACTGGCCACACGGAGGAAATGTGTATGTGTGACTGTCTGCCTGTGACTGTGTGTGACTGTCTGCCTGTAACTGAGTGTGTGACTGTCTGTCTGTAACTGAGTGTGTGACTGTCTGCCTGTAAATGTGTGTGTGGGGCTGCAGGGATTTTGTAGAAGGGGGCGGGGGTTTTGTATTGGGACAGGAGTCTTTATAAGGGGGATAAGCAGGGGATTTGTGGAAGGGGTTGCGGGGGTTTTGTAGACGGGGCAGTACAGGATTTGTAGAAGGGGCAGGACAGAGGTTTTGTAGGAGGGGTGGGGCAGGACAAGGGTTTTGTAGGAGGGGCTGACAGCCGTTTTGCAAAGTTTAAAAAAAAATTTTTTAAAAAAGAAAGAAAACCTTTAACCTTTTTTACAGGTTTTTTTTTTTTTGGGGGGATCCGTCCCGGGTGCCAAATGCTCTAGGTACGCCCCTGAATGTAGGAGACTGCTTGAAAAGGAGATTCACATAAAATCAGAGGTATTGATATGTCAAACCAAATTTAAAGAGCTGCATAAGATCTTGTGATCCAAATGTAGATTTGGAGATTATTGATCTATGTTGGGCTGCTGAAGGAGTTTATAAGCACAGGGCAGGAGGCTGGTTTGTTTAATTTATGGATATTACTTTTTATTCCCGGATTAGGGAGGGGAATCTAGAACTCTGGGGAAAGCGTCACTCAGACATGAAATGCGTACAGACAGGCATAAATTAAGCCACCTCTTGTGCTTTACTTCCTGCCATATTTTATTTAAGTTTGTTATGTATTTTCTAATTTAACAATAAAGGATAGATAATTTTATATGCCTTTCTTTGGACTCTACTTTGAGTGGAAGGATTTTTTCCAAGTGTGTAAAGTCAAGTTAAAGGTAACCATTCAATTGCTCATTGCATCACAAGGCACGATGTTAGATCAGGGCCCTCACCTAAAACTCTGAACAGTCACGCAGACACTACACTCACACAGAGGTATACATTCACAGTTACACACTGCCATACATTTATAGAAACAGATACACACTGCCACAAACATATACACAGCACATACAAACAGATACACACACATATACACAAACAGATACACACTGCCACACACACTTCGACACACTTATACACAGCACATGTACGCAAACAGATACACACTGCAGATACATAGAGCCATACACACTGCCACACATATACAAGGACTGGCGCACACACATTAAACTAGGATTTAGCCACCCTCCTCTTTGCCTTCTTCTGTGCTGGAGAAGGGTGGCATCCTGTAGTCCAGTGGGGCAGACAGTAAGTCTTCCCTTCTTGCCACGCGGCAGTTCAAGTGCACCTCTTAGGTGAGTCCTACACTAACAATCTCTAATGAGTCAGAAAAGGGTATTCTTGTAAATCTACACACTTATTACCCCTTATTAGGACACAGATGGGGTGGGTTGCAGCTCTGTAACGTGGCTGTTTGGTTTGCTTTTTCTTTGAAAGCAATAAGGTGAATTCCAGAGAAACTGCAATGTTAACATATTAAATATATGGCTACTATTGTGCGATTCTGTATTTAGTGTGTGCATATATCTTTAAATTTGTATCACTGTGGGTATTTAGACACACGCCCTGTCAGTGATTCACTGCACTTTTAATTTGTCGTAACTTTGTCTTGTTTTCCAGTTACTTTATTGCTTGAGGAAATACTATTTTGGGTCCCACTGCCTTCCAGACAGAACTTTACATCTACATCGGCTTCAAACACTTAATACTCTGCTGGACATACAGTTAACTACTTTTGGCTTTGTTCTTTCGGGACTTGACATACAGATTCCATTTTCAGTTCTGCTGGACTTTAGATTAACGATTATTTGCTTTTGACTGAGGACTTAGTTTACTGATTAAACTTTGCTATTGGCTTTAAACACCGGACTTTCTTCATTGCTAACCCCTTATGTGTCTGCTGGAATTTACTGGATAAGATTATTGGCTTGTTACCCTAGACTTGGACTGTTCAAAAAAAATTGCTTCTTATAGTAAGTTTTGGTTTTGTTTGTCTTTATAATATAACAAGTGAAAAAAGGCGCTTATAATAGTGATAGTGAACTTATTTGAAAGCAGCACCTATAAAGTGTATCAGCTACTAACACCCAACAGTAGAATCAAAACATAAAATAAGTGCGCTAATTATTTGTGAAATACAAATTCAACTTACTGTACAAAAAGAGTGAGATAGTGTAGACAATTTTTGTGCAAAGTGCTGTATTTAAACACTCATAATACTCTTTAACCATGCAATATATAAAGGTTCTTAATACCAAAAAGTGGCTTAGTGTATTAGAAAAGTGGTACACTTACTAAAATCATATACTTGAAATGACTCTTAGTATCCAAATGATGTTACATAAAAAAGAATAAAATGAAAATCATATATAGTGAAATATTGCTATTTAACAATAATACAGCATGTGTGTAAAATTTTTCAATCACAAGCAGAGAGCAGATGAGCCTGCTCTACTTCTGACAGCTCCAAATGCAGATTAATCCACTGCAGCCAATAAAGAAAGATGGTTTATTTACACAGATAAAAACAGCATACATATATAAGACTGTCCTTAAGTGGGTTCGTGCATCCGCCGGCTAAAATATTCAGTCTGTGCACCCTCACGATCGGCAAAGTCCACAGGATACTTCCGGGAGGTGTGGTGTGCGTGATTTTATAAATGAATGCTCTTTTTATCTGTGTAAATAAACCATCTTTCTTTATTGGCTGCAGTGGATTAATCTGCATTTGGAGCTGTCAGAAGTAGAGCAGGCTCATCTGCTCTCTGCTTGTGAGTGAAAAATCTTACACACATGCTGTATTATTGTTAAATAGCAATATTTCACTATATATGCTTTTCATTTTATTCTTTTTTATCTACATTACCTGGATATTAAGAGTCATTTCCAGTATATCCTGTTTCTGCTTTGTTTTGAATTATGTCTTCTTTTAACTTTGTGGACTATTCTTTTGACTTAGCCATATTTCTAAAATGCAGTCAAATGTGACACTCAACAAATCCCTAGCCAGTTCAGGTATATCAAGTGTTCCAGCTCAAGCACACCTGGTGCAACTAATGAAGCCCTTGATTAGTTGCTTCAGGTGTGCTTGAGATAACATCTGTTGTGCTGTTATGAGGGATGATATACAGGGGGTTTAATACTTTTAAGACTGGAGAAGTCATTATAAGTTGTATTTTTAGTTGAATTTGGGGAAACCACTTAAAACATTTGCTGTGTTGAGCTATTTCAATTGTTTTTGTTTGATTTGGTCATTGTAATAATAAACCTCATTTTCAATTTGGGGTTGAATAATTTTGATTAGAACTATATATTCTTTAAATTGTACCCTAATCAAATTGCAGTGTTCTTTAATAGTAATGTCGCGAACCGTTCGCAAACTTCCAGCGAACGGCTCGCCGCGGTTCGCCACAAACCGTTCGCGGCGAGCTCCGGTCAGCTGACACATCCCGGCCAATCTCCAGCAGACCCTCCCTCCCAGACCCTCTCACCTCCTGGACAGCATCCATGTTGAAGGCAGCGAACAGTGGCGAGCCGTTCGCGGGAAGTTCGCGAACGGTTGGCGACATCTCTATTCTCTAAATCTGAAGGCAAAATCGTATTAATTAGCAGTTACTTAGCTTGTCTTAACCTGTTCATATGTTTAAATCATACTTCCCCTCCAACATTAGTTTACATAAATATAATATTAATCATCTTCACCTCCACCTATTCAAGACAGACATCAAGACACCCCATATCTGAAACACATTGGAGAGCTGACTTCACGATGGATTCCTCTGAAGGGGTAACCCTCCTTATTGCCCTCTGCATATCCTGCCTTATTGTGATTCTTGGTTTTAAAATTATTTGGAGAAAAGGAAACCTCCCCCCAGGACCTAGACCTCTTCCACTGCTGGGAAATTTCCTTCAGCTGAGAAAGGGGGATTTTGTAGAAACTCTCCAGAAGGTAAGAATGCACGAATTTACAATGAGAGTTAGCAATATTGGTATAAAGGATTAGTTATGAAATTTTCATACAGAGCAATCAAAGCAGCAGTTAATTAGGTTAATTAGTCAGTTGGTCAGATAACATAGCGTCTGACCCAACATGGCTGCTCAGCCAGATAAACAGTGACATTTTCTTAATAAAAAAAAAATCAAAATGCAGAATTTTTAAAAAACATCATAACAATTTGTTAAATGTAATAAACTTTTAAAACATGAGAAGTTAAAATTAGGTGACAGTTGTCCTTTAATTAATATGATATATATTTGATGCAATATGTAAAAGTCACACCAGAGTTCAAGCAGTTGATTTTCTTCCATTACAGTTTAGTGAGCAATATGGTGATCTATACACGGTGTACTTCGGGATTCATCCAGTAGTGGTGGTCACCGGATATAAGAGGGTGAAAGAAATTCTTATAGACAGAGGGGATGATTTTTTGGCTCGTGGGAACATGTTCACCTTTGATGCTTACTACAAAAATCATGGTAATAAATTATTGCTCTTAACCTTTTGTTTGCCTATTTATTCTATGTAATTTTTCAAAGTAGACTTTAAAGAGAAAACCACTTCTGCTATCTATTTTTCTTTACTCCTAATTCCAAGCAAAATGTAGACACCCGTGGGATTAGCATTTCAAGATTATTTTCATGCTAGGAAGTATGAAAATATTGCCCAAACAAATGTTTTTCTCCAAATGATGCTCCCCCCTTGCCTGGCTCTTTCTCCTTTAACCCCTTAAGGACTGAGCCAAATGTACACGTTGTGAACAAAACAAAACGTAAACAAAACCTGGCATTTGCGCTACATGTCTGTCCAACCGTAATTCACCTCTTTCATATTAAATGCACCCACCCATACATATATGATTTTATTCAGGGGAAACAGGGCTTTCATTTAATATCAAATATTTAGCTATGAAACATAAATTAATATGAAAAAAAAATGGGAGAAAATAAGAAATTTTGTTATTTTTTTTTAGTTCTACATGACATTTTAATGACATTAATGTCAATGTCATAATACTGTTTGCTTTTATTGCAATAAAATACACATATTTGTATTCAGCAAAGTCTCACGTGTAAAACAGTACCCCCTATGTACAGGTTTTATGGCGTTTTGGAGATTACAGGGTCAAATATAGCACGTTACATTTGAAACTGAAATTGGCCAGATTGGTTACGTTGCCTTTGAGACTGTATAGTAGGCCAGGAATGAAATTTACACCCATAATGGCATACCATTTGGAATAGGAGACAACCCAAGGTATTGCAAATGGGGTATGTCCAGTCTTTTATAGTAGCCATTTGGTCACAAACACTGGCCAAAGTTAACGTTAATATTTGTTTGTGTGTGAAAAATGCAAAAAACGCCAAATTTGGCCAATGTTTGTGACTAAGTGGCTACTAAAAAAGACTGGACATACCCCATTTGAAATACCTTGGGTTGTCTACTATTGCAAATGGTATGCCATTATAGGGGTAATTTTCATTCTTGGGCTATTATAGGGTCTCAAAGGCAACGTAACCAATCTGGCGAATTTCAATGTGAAAAAAATGAAACACAAGCCTTATATTTGACGCTGTAACTTTTGAAAACACCATAAAACCTGTAAATGAGGGGTACTGTTGTACTCGGGAGACTTCACTGAACACAAATATTTGTGTTTCAAAACAGTAAAAAGTATCACAGCAATAATATCGTCCGTGTAAGTGCTGTTTGTGTGTGGCAAATGCAAAAAATGTCACTTTTACTGGCGATTTCATCGTTTTAATGCATTTTACTGTTTTCAAACACTTATTTGTGTTCAGCAAATTCTCCCAAGAAAAACAGTAGCCCCCATGTACAGGTTTTATGGTGTTTTCAAAAGTTACAGCGTCAAATATAAGGCTTGTGTTTCATTTTTTTTTAATGGTAAGTTATAGGGTTAAATATAGTGCTAGCAAATTAAATTTCCTATACTTTCGGCATGGGTTGTCAGGCAGGTCCCGCTAATTGTAATTAATTAAAATACCTAATTATGTAAAAATATTACATAAATATATATGTAGAATTAATATATGTATGGATATGGAATTCTCTGCCTGAAGAGGTGGTTTTGTCAGAGTCCATACAGATGTTTAAACTGAAATTGGATAAATACTTACAAAAACATAACATACAGGGATATAATTTCTAATTAGTGGGGTATTAGCTGCTTGATGGAGACATGTGACTGCTATTTTGGGGTCAAGAAGGAATTTTTTCCTAGTTTGTGGCAAAATTGGAAGCGCTTCAGACCAGGTTTTTTGCCTTCTTTTGGATCAACAGCAACAACATTTGTGAAGAAGGCTGAACTCGATGGATGCAAGTCTCTTTTCAGCTATGTAACTATGTAAATATATATATATGTATATATATCTATATATTTATATATAGATATATATACGTAATTTTAAAAAAATATTTTTATTTATATAAAGGTATA